CTCTGGAACCTTCCGACTGCCTGACCTGCATCAGGAGAGGCCCTGCGCTGGTCGGATTAAACGCACCCCGGGGTTGCGGGGAGAGTGACCGAGAAGGCTTTCAGCACCCACTTCAGTTAAAATTGGTCAATACAAGTTTACCGCTCTACAGCTTGCCTTGGCAAGAGGGTTTCAGGTGGTTAGAATCTTCTGGTAGGAGTCATGGGTCACTGAGCCAAGAACAGTGTGAGGTATCTTCAGGTTTGACGACTGCTGTACCCTAAGTGGCACCTGTCTGGAATTCCACGCTGGACTGAAGACAGGCCGAGGAACGACGGAGCGAAGAAATTCGGGAATAGAGGGCTGCTCTGACGGCACGGCCGCCTCTGTCTGGGACTCATCGTAGAACGTAAGCAGAACCCATGGAAAGAACAGGTTGGCGTTACACTAAATCACTCCTCCGGGGTTGTGGCCTATCAGATGCCGAACGTCACTAAGGGCTCCTGAGGCCGGCCGGGGTGGGGGTGCTCCCGTAAGGGAACGAAGCACCTGCTCGGCTCGTCCCCGTGGGCTCCTTCACGGAGCTGGTGCTGAGAACGCAGAAGATGCCTCAGACTCCCTCTGCCCCCGCGACGTTCTCACACCCAAACTAAATTCAAATGCCCTCACATTGTCTTTAATTCTGTAGCAAACAGTCCCGTTCACTGACAGTCTTGTAACCCCAAGCTGCTCAAAAGGGATATTGTAGATACTCTTAAGATAACTCACACTTACTTTCTGTTCACAGAGAGAAAAAACACAGTCAAGAGCCAGGATTGTGTGAAGGCCAAGTTCTGCACAATCTGTGAAAGGAGCTTTTGCCAGAAGCGCCTGCCGAGACAGAGGGCGCCTGTGCAGGGCGGGGCGGGGGCCGCGCGGGCTTGCTGAGGGCCGCACAGTGCCAGGCCCTGCAGCCTAAGGTGGGGTGCACTCCAAGGTCCCCCCCACAACTGGCAGGACCACCTTAACCCGGCTAGCAGACAGTTCCCAAAGATGGAACTGGACGAGGCCACGCTGGGAGCCCGAGCTTGGAGAGGCCTCTGAAGGTCACCAGGTCAATGTCATCGGTTTAGAGGAGGGAGGGAAGTCCAAGCAGGGCGAGCCGTCTGCCCAAGCTCTGCACAGACTAGAAGAGAACCGAGCGGCCGGGACTCCCTGAGAGAAAGGGAGATGGCAACGACTCTCTAAGCTCACGACACGTGTGCCAGTTCCCTACGACTCTACCTAATTCCCACGTTCACAAAATAAGAGGCAAGTACAAGTGGAATCCCGAAGAAAGAAACCGAGTCTGGGGCGGAGAAATGAATCACGCGAGGACAGACTAATTCTAAGTGCGGGCGAGGCGTGGCCCCTGCTGCTGTTTCGTTGGAACAGATTAAAGGGGAATCGTGGCTGTTAAGCGTTTTGGACAGATGCCGATGCCAGCGGAAGACAAGACAGACACCGTGCCTCCTGAAGTGCCTGCGCCCTCCCCTACGCTTCAGAAGCAAATCGTTTACAAACACGGCTGCAACTCTCCTCCCCCCGGCTCCAGGGCCCTCTGCCTTGTGATTTAGCAGCGACTCCCACCAAGACGCAGAGTTTACCTCTCTGTTCACAGAGTCTGGGCTGGCCGTGCAAGTTAACCGAGAGGATGCAATGGCAGTGACGGGGTGCCGACCCTGAGCCCAGGCCCGAAGACACCCTGCATGCTCCCATTCGTTTCCCTGGACCTCCGCCAGCTGCCACGTGAACAGGCCCAGGCTGGCCTGACGGAGGCCGATGGGACATGCGGATTCAGGCCGTGTCAGCCCATTCGTCCCCGTTGAGGAGTCAGAGATATTAGTGACCCTGGCCACAATCAGCTGCACCTGGGCCGGATCAGCACACTCATGCTACTGACCTGTGTCCTAAGCAATGACCAACGGTTACTGTTGTTTTAAACCACTAAGTTTTGGGGTGGTTTGTTACATAGCAAAAGCTAACTGACACAAACTCTGGTCACGCCCTGGAAAAGCCTGTTCTCCATGGCCTTGCTTCCCACGTGAGAAATAGTCCTTTTTAACCACAGAATACTTAAAGCGCTGACCCAAGGCCCAAGGGAAGATCAGAAAAGGCCAAATCATCTCTGCCCATTTATGCCTGCGTGGTAACGCTCCAAGTGTGACCACCACCATTTCTCCACCCCACCCTCACCCCACCCACTCACGCGGGCCACAGAGGACCGTCCTGGACACCTCTTCCCACCCAGGGCAGAGTCAGCAACAGGCGGCAGCACCCACGTCGGGAGGCACAGGCTGCAAACGAAGTGCACGTTTACCAGTTTCCAAGTAAAGAGTGGCAGGGAGCGACTCACCGAGGGCACAGGGAAGTTGCCGTGCCGGCTGAGAAAGGAGTTAGAGACGGACACACTGATGCCCTGAGTGGCACTGCTGTCCTCGGGGGTGAAGGCCACTTTAGTTTGCTGGACACAGTAGGAGACAGAGGAGAAGGAAGAAGCAGCATAGGAGGCCTGCTGGACAGAGGAACGAGAGAGGACAGGGAAGGAGGGAAGAGCAGAGAACAGTCAGGCGTGTTTGCATCAAGGCTAAGCAGGCTGCTACCTAGCCGCTCGGACATGCTGGAGGGATGGCTTCTTGGCTCGGCTCAGGGATCAGAGAGGCCTGCGGGAGGCCACCTGGACGAGAGGTGCCTCCTTCGCTTCGTTATGAGAGTCAAAGCTAACTGCACCCATGCGCTGCGTCCACCGGAAGGGGTGGGGCGGTGGAAGGTGGCCCAGAGTGTGAGCCCTGGCCTTTGCTCTTGTTTAGGGCGTCAAGGTCCCCGGCTGCGCGTGTGGACCGTGTCATCACTCACGCTGTAGCAGAGTGCGGACCGCAGGCCAGGCTGCCTGGGTTTGAACCTGGGCCCTGCCATTTGTGACCTGTTTGGCCTTGGGGACCCGTTAAAGCTCTCTGGGCCTCAGGCTTTTCGTCTGTAAAATGGGGGTAACACTGTGTATGCACGTAAAGCTCTTAGAACCGTGCCTTCCACAGTGTGTGAGGGCCAACGGGAGTAATTACTACTCCCATTTCTGTCGGTAAAACGGGGTAACGCTCCCGCTCCTCCATTTGAGAGAGGGTGCGCCGGCACAGGGCATGTCACGCAGTGTGCTTGGGCTTCAGTCAGACTTGGGCCGTGTCCCCGAACCTTCCACTTCTAGTGATGGGCTTTGAGAAGTTGCCCCAGCTCTCTCGGCATCAGTTTACTGAAAATGTAGGGAGGGTCGTGTGAAACCACGTGAGAGGCAAGTCTCACTACAGGGTGTCTGCCCACCTCCTGGGCCCCTGGCAGGAGGCTCCCGGAGGCTCCCTTCACTGCTGCCCCGCTAGCATGTTAATAGGTCCAGAGAGCTCGCTCGGGAAGGCTGGCTCCACGTGTGTTTGTGAGGGATCTGTCCCCGAACACTCAGAGGCCCGCGGGCCCCACGGTAGAGAAGATGCCCCAGGATGGCCTACGGGCACCTGTGGACAGCCGCAGGCGGGGCTGAGACCACTTTAAATCTCAATGAAATCTTGCTCAGCTGTTTTAATCAAACAGTTTAGGTTAGGGGTCCCTGGGGCAGGCACTTATATTTCCGTGGTAAAAAAATGTCTTTGAAGTATTTTCAGAGCAATTTACATTCACATTCAGGGCAGGCGAAGAACTCAGACCTTAAGTACGATTCATGAGACACGGCTAGCCACTGGTAGGACTGGAACCCAGGGCTCTGAACGCTGAGCTCGGCCTTTCCTCTACGAGACAGGCTGTCTCTCAAGAGGCTGGCTGTGGTCCTGCTGGTCGGCCCGGCATCCACTGAACGCACAAAGGCTCAGGGCCCAACCGGAGAACTGCTGAGCCCCAGGTGGCTGCAAGGAGCAGCCCAGGGGCCTTTCTCCTCCCATCGGCAGCTGCCTCCCAGGAGACCCGGGGCAGCACCTTCCTGTCCTGTCACAATGGATGATGGACGGCCCAGCCACCACACTGGTCCCCTCTTTAGTTAAAATGCTACCAGACTGGCCAGCATATTAGCAAAAGAGCACATGCAGCTCTGAAAAAGACAAGACTCCCCCTTCGGGGTGCACTCTTCCTGCAGAGCATGCCTGGATGGGGTGCTTGGATGCTAGAACCAGAGTCCACTCGGTTAGTACACTGGCAGCAGAGGACGAGGTTTAGAGGCACGCAGCAGGCACTCCCGACCTGCCCTCCGGCCTGGTCCCAGGATCCCGCAGGCTGCCCCGGCAGGCGGGCAGGCAGGCCGTGGACTTGAGCTCCATGACCCACACAGAGTCCCTACATAGGAGGTGTTTTCTTAGAGGAGGAAGGGTGCCGCGCCTGAAGCACAAAGCAGCTCTGTTTAGAGCTCTCCTGCCTCAATAGAGCTTGTTTTCCTGGGGGCATCCCTGGCCAGGGTGGATGCAAGTCCCTCTACACAGTCGGGCCCACTATGCAAATCAAGGCCACAGATGGCCCTACACAGACCATGCCCTGTGCTCTGATGGAGTCCCTCCTTTCTGGGAGGTCTATATTGGAGCCAGAGAAGCGAGAAAAAATTGCAAGAGACTGTCAGCAGAGAAAGCAAACATTCTGAGTACAAGCCCGTCCCAGCTGCATGGGGCCGGCCTGGCAAAGAAAGGCACCACCACCCCCAGGGCGGGGGGATGGCAGAGCAGGAGACAGGCTGTACGTGAGCTCGTCAGGGAAGTGAAAGCACCCACATGGGATGTGGCGAGTTCGGCACCAGCCCGGGGTCCTGGCCCGGAGGGGAAAGAGGTTCTAGGTCCCAGAGACCCGTCGGGCTTGGCCGTGCGGAGCATCTGGGGGGCTGCTTACCAGCTGCCGCTGCTTGGGGGGCAGGGCAGGGGGCGGCGCCAGGTCCTGCGGGGCGTCGGCGCTGCTGAAGGAGTCGTTGAAGCCGTACACCTCCATGAGGTGCTTGTTCTTCTGCTGGTAGATGTGCTCGCTCTGCGGCGTCTGGTAGAACATGGACGGCTGCGGCTCCGAGTAGTCCTCCAGCAGCTGCATGTAGGCCAGCACTGCGGAACAGAGAGGGTGGGTGGCAGCCTCTCGAGCTCTGATCCAGGGGAGCTGGCTGTGAGGGACCCCACCCACTCCCCTCCCGGCAGCCGGCAGCCAGGGCGGTGAAGCCACTGTGTGTGACGCCACAATGGTGGACACACGTCAAAACGTAGCGCGTGTACAGCACCAAGAGTGAGCCCCGACCGTGGACTCTGGGCGACGATGGCGCGTCAGTGCGGGCTCACTGACGGTAACGAACGTGGCACGTTCTCCGGTGGAGACGGGGACAGCGACAGCGGGGAGGCCGTGCGTGTGGGGGCAGGGACATGTGGGAACTCTCCGTACTTTCCGCTCAGGGCTGCTGGGAACCCCAAGCTGCTCTCAGAAGTCAAGGCTATTATAAAAGGCACATGGGGGCACCTCGCCGCCTTGCCAAAAAGCCCTCGGGGGTTTCCAGGTGCGTCGAGGGGCAGGGCCTGTGCAGGGCTCAGGGGGGCCCAGCTGGTCCACCCAGTGCTCGGTATCCCGTTCCCCTCACTCAGCCCCGCTCCCGCCCTCCCCCACCCCCGCACGCCCTCGGCTCCCACGCGCCAGCTCGGCTCTTCCCTCCTCCGTGGCACAGGAGCCCCGTCTCGCCCCATTCGTTCCTTTCCTAACTCTCCCTACAGTCGGTCGGGACCTCTCTTATTGATTATTTTAAATAAAGAGGGTGACTTTGAACCTCTCCTTCAGTGGAGGGTGTCAGAGAGACATACCTAGAGAAAGGCATTTCCTATCTACCTTGACCCTGAATGAGGTACACAGGAGGTGATCTCCCTACCTTCGTGACTGCCTTTCTCAGCAAAGTGTCTCTGTCCTTTCGTTCTCTGACGGGCTTAGGTCTCCAGCTAAACCCCCAACTTTGCAGTTATTTGAAAATATGAGATTAAGCCCTGCATAACTGTCCTTGCCGTTTTTTCTTGCTGTCTGAATCTCAGCTCCACCTAGCAGGTGCTCATGGCATTTGTGACACGACCCAAGGAGAAGGCACTCAGGGTGGTGGTGACTTAGCTCCCTGCCGTCCCTACACCTGCCACACGTGGACTTAAGTTCCTTTGCTTCCTAACCCGAGCCCTTTCTCTCTCCAGCTGTCATGGTCACTTGAACCCCCCTTAGTGTGTGCGCAGCGTCTCTGCAGGTAACTTAGTGCTCACTCACTCCTAACCCAGGTGTCAAGGGCACAGCAGCACCTTTCCTCCAAGCGCTGGCACTCACGTGTATAGGGGCCGTCCCCACACCTGGGCACTTCCTTTGCTGCTGGAGGAAGGGAAAGGCGGTACAGGACTTCAGGCCTGCCTTGACCTGGACTTTGCTGTGGGCGATGTCAGGTGCAGGGTCCAGGTCACCGAGGTGGATGGGGATTGGAGAAAGGGCTTCTGCTCCCACCCAGCCTTCACAGCTTCATAAGCACGCCAGGCGACTGGCACAGTCAGCTCCAAACTGTTGCGTCTCCCAGAACCCTCTGGAGCCTTCAGAAGGGCCTGGCTCTGTAGGTGGGGCTCAGATCACTATCCCCAGAAGTCAGGAGTAAGGTACACAGATGCCGCCACGTGAGGGCTGAGGGCTCCACACCTGCCTGCGAGGAGGAGGCCACTGAGACGTGCCAGCCGGGCGGGTGACATCCCTGCTGTCCTCTACGGGGAGGTCCCCTTGTGGGTGCCGCCACGCCGTGAAGGCCACGGGTTCAGGCAGCTCCACGGCGAGGCAGCAGCTTGGCGCCAGATGGCAGCGATGGCCAGGGCTATGGGTTTCGAGAGGATTTCTAGTGAGAGGGTGCGCACGTGTGAGCTCGAGCGCTTTTCTGCGCTTTGCCCTCTCCCGAGGGTGTGCGAAGCCCTGTAGCTGGAAGGGGAGGGCTGAGTGTGGTTGTCGCTACTTGTACTCCGTGGTGCTTCTACAGGCCCCTGCCCAGGGCCTCATTAACAAGTCACCAGGTAGGGACGGGTGTTCCCTTCATTCATTCGTTCTACAAGTATTTGTGGACACCTGCGTGTGCCATGCACTAATGATTCAGCAGTGGACAGGACACGTAGAGCTTCGACTCTTGAGCGAGAGGCAGTAAATCCTGTTGCATCTGCTTTGAAAATATGCCCTGAGACCTTCCAGCTGAGCAACCACAGCAGCCCAGATTGTCTTCTCAAGGGAAAGCAGCTCCAAGCACACCCACGGGACCCTTCTGGCCTTCTTCCTGGCCCCGTTCACACAGCCACGCCCCCTTCTGGGAGATGGGCTCGTCTCCCTCACTCCTCCCTGGCCAGCTGTGCTCTGCCCCCCTAGACTGGCCCCCTGGGGCCTTAGCGTGGAGGGCTCTTCCCCGTCATCCATATTCTAGAGAAGCACCCCCTTCACTGTTGTCCATGGGGCGCGTTTCTCCCCCATGTTCGTCCCACCGCGGGACAGTGCTGTCTTCCCCGGGTGGGGCTGAGGCCCACGTGGGCAGAGAATTTGTTTTCCCGGCGTCTGTAGTCCCAGCACCCGAGCCAGGGCCCAGCACGTAGTAGGTGCTCGGTAAAAATGGGATGAGTGGAAATATGAGATTAAGCCCTGCATAACTGTCCTTGCCATTTTTTCTTGCTGTCTGAATCTCAGCTCCACCTAGCAGGTGCTCGTGGCATTTGTGACACGACCCAAGGAGAAAGCACTCAGGATGGTGACTTAGGCAGTCACGAAGGTAGGGAGATCACCTCCTCTGTACCTCATTCAGGGTCAAGGTAGATAGGAAATGCCTTTCTCTAGGTATGTCTCTCTGACACCCTCCACTGAAGGAGAGGTTCAAAGTCACCCTCTTTATTTAAAATAATCAACAAGAGCGTCTTAGCTCCAACACACACTGAGTGAACTTGGCCAAAAAAGGCAGGCAGGGAAAGACGGTCTCCCTCCGAGATCAGCTGCCACGGCTGCTACAGGTGCAGCTCAGAGTCCCCTCAGGCCCTCCAACGCCTTTTCCTTAATGCTGTACATCCGACACCAATGGGGACCAGAGGAAGATGCAAGGCTACGAAGGTGACCCCAAACGCCTGCCTACCGTTCCCTAAGACTGTACACAACCACGACAGGAAGCTTCAGTAAGACGTGACCTTCTAACACTGAAGTCCTTGTGGAGACCTGCTAGCCGAGCACAGATGGACAAGAGGGGCACTCGCACCTTCTAGAAATGAGGAGGACCAGCCCATCTCAAAGGCTCCGAGACCAGAGCGGCTTGGCCGGCTGATGCTGGTGGGGCTGCCCTCGACGCTGGGGCCTGGGGACCCTCAGGACATCAGAGCTACTGAACGATGAGGCACCTGTGACATTGCGATGCCTGCAGCGCTCTGTCAGCATCAGCCTAACATGATGCCTATCCTCTCCTCTCCCTCACAGCGACCGTGAAAAGTTCCCGTGAGGTCACAGACCGAACTCTCTGGGGTCCTCTCGAGGAGTGACGAGTGGACTTAAGATTAGGGCCAAGCCTCAAGTTTGAGATCCTTTCCCAGGGCGCAGAAAAGGCCACCAGCTGCATGGGGCCACCACTGAAACCCAGCTGGGTGGGGTCTCCAGGTGTGCGCTCCCCTCCTCGGTGTGGCAGGTGGGCCTGCCTGAAGCCCATGTGTTCTTGTCCTTGGGAAAGACTCAGTTTCTTTGAGCTCTGGTTTCTTCGCCTATAAGATGGGAGCTAATGACACCTGTCTGGAGGCAGTAAGGACCGAACACTACAAGATGTGTGAAGCTTTAGCCCAGAGCACGGGACACCGTAGCTTTTAAAGGTTTATAGCACAAGTGCTACAGACATTGATGGATGCGATAAAGCCTGAATGAACAGAAATATTTCAGGCCCCGAAGACTTGAGGCCTTTCAAAGGCAACAGTGGCCGCCTGTCCCTGTCCTTCCCTCCCTCACAGCCCTGCCCCCCACACCTATTCTACAAGCTGGCAGAGAAGGCTCTCGGGTCCTCGGCCCGCGGTGCCACACATCGCTGCGGCCTGCACGACGCTGTCCTGCCCCAAGTTCAGCTTCAGAGGACCCCTAGGAAAGGGTGCGTGCGCCGACCGGCATGCTGCTCCAGCCTCGGCAGCGGGGTGGACGGGAGAGGCCGATGGCTCTTGAAACGTCTGCCCGTGCAGAGGGAGAGGCGTGGGAGGAAATGTTTCTGGCGTGGCCGTTCGCAGCTCCCTCCTCAAGTGCCCTGGTTTCTAATGAGCCAGTGTACACGACAGATGGGAATGACATCATTAGCTTTACAGAGCCAGCTCTCTCTTTCCAGCTGGGGGACCACACCACCGAGGCTATTACATAAATTGGGTGACACCCAGTGAGGAGCTGGGGAAGACGTTACACCCTCGGTGGCTGCCTCCTTCCACGGCCCACCCAGCTGGCCGTCAGGGCAATCCCTGCTGCGTTTAACCGGCCAGGTCTCCCCTTCTTTGAGAGTGGGCCACCCTAGGCAGGGCCAATCAGACGCTCTCACTGGGGAATTTGGAATAGAAATTCAATTTCGTAGAAGTTTTCTGCTGGATGCTTTGCCTGAGGCCAGTGAGTGCCGGGGCTGTGGGGCTGATGTGGCCACAGACACATCCACATGGTGACAGCAGGTCCACCCAAGAAAAGCAAAGCAGAACTGTGCTAGCGGAGTGGGGAGAGGGCAGGGCCAGAGACAGGCGACGTGGAGCAGTTGCGGGGCTGGCCGAAGAAACAGTATCCAGTAGAACTCGACTTAGGAATTTGATGGCAAATTCACAGTTGGAAAATATTCAAACTATGAAAATCCAAAATTTCAGCTCTACCCCTGGGCCCCTGTAACACTGTCTAGTAAAATATCTGGTCCAAGAGGTATCCTCGGGCCATCTCAGATTCCAAGTCATTATGTGACTTTCTGTGCCTATGGATGAAGACAGTGGCACCTGGGATCTGAGTGCCCCCCATCCACTTCCAGGGACCCTGAGGAAACCCCTCTGGGGCTGCGGTAAGCTCCGCGTAAATCCGCTCGTCCACCATGCTTTACCCAGATGCTGCTGTGACGCCAGGACACTCACTCGTTTCTCTGCGTCACCATGTGTTCAGGTCAGAAGGTCAACTGACTGCTGTCTACAAGAGGCCAGACACCTGGACTCTGTGGGGGCCAGGCACGAGATTTTATAGAGGCCTTAAGGGGGGGTCAGCTTATCAGGTTTTAGAAACGATCACCAGTATTGACAAAAGGCTGCCGGAAGTGTCCAAGTACCTGCGGTCCTATCTTTTATGAACTTACAAGGCCATTGGTTTGATTCTGGTCTAACGCTTAAATAAAACACGGCACCACTCAGGTCACAGAACGTGCTCCCTGACGAGAGCGCAACGAAAGCTTACTGTGTTTGTTTTTCTTCTCTGGTAGAGGAGGCGGTTTTTCTGGGTCACCCGTTGATTCAGAGACAGCGAAATCACCCACAAATTCGACAGAGGCTGAAGGACCCCCTTGCTGAAAGGGGGGGATAGCAGCGAAGGGTGTGAAGGGGCCGGCCGGGGCTGGGTTCTGCAGGTCGCCCTCGGAGACGTTGTCATACTGGGAGGGGTGCCGCTCGTAGGACACCCTGCAGCCAGAGCTGTCCGCGGTCTGGGAGGCTGCGCTCCTGCGCTTCTTCTCGGGGAGGGCGGGCGGTGTGTCCATCTGCTGCCCTGGGGCCAGGGGCCCGTCTGGCTGGGGACAGCTGATAAGAGGCAACTGGAAAGGATGGCCGAGAAACGAAGACCCAGATTCTCCCAAGGACTCCGGCAACGGGCTAAGGTTACAGGCCACTTGCTGAGGTATCTGGTCTGCGTTCGAGAGGTCTTGCTGAAGGAATTCATAGTCAGGGTCATAATGATCTGCATGCACAACAGGAAAGACACACGTGAGCCACCAGACCCCGCAGAGAGAAACCACCCTTCCCCCTGCCTTTACTCATCCCATTCATTAGAGTGACACGAGGCTTGTCTCCTGTCGCACCTAGATGGGCTCTAACTTTACTTTATATTCTTTATTCTTCTGCCTGCTTAAAACAGTAAAAACAGATACGACTGTTCACTATCCCAGTCTTTGTACTTCCATGTATTTTTTGAATGTCTTAAAAGAGAATGCATGACCGCTGTAGAAAATGTGGCAAAAAAAAAACCCTGCTAAAAAATCACCCACAATCCCATAATCTGACTGTAATCTGTTTACAATTTAATGTATTTCCTTAAAAACCTCCCCTCTCCCACAGGATTTTTTTTAAACTGAACTTAGAAGATGCTATGTAAGTGATCTCGGATTTTGTCCACTGATCAACAGATCTCAACTGATTTTTAATGGCTACATAGTATTCCACCAAATGGATATATCGTAATTCATTTGATTTTCTACCACTGAGTATTAGACTACTTCCAGTTTATCACTCTAGCTAAGGAGGCTGAGATTACGTCCATGGACCGAAATCTTGCTTTTTATCTGATTAAGTTAAGATAAACTTACAGAAGTGAAATATCTAGCTCATGGGACACGAACTCCTTAACGCTCTCTAAGCCTCATGCCGAGCGGCCTTTCAGACTCCCCGCCGGCCCACGCTGCGGGCGGTCCACACCGGCAAGGGGTCTGCACGCGCTGCTCACCTGCTTTCACCCCGTCAGAAGCCGTCAGGGGCTCGCCCTTCATCTGTAGCTCTGAGCACAGATGGCTTTTAATTTTAGCAAAGGGAGTCAAATTACACACCGACAGATTGACCATAGCAACAGCTACCACTTGAGTGCCTCCCGGGTGGTTCTGCACCCTGATTTCGTCTAAACTTTCAACCTCCTTGAGGCAGAGATGGGTATCCCCCCTGCGCAGATGAGGAAACCGAGGCCCAGATTTTGAACGACTTGGCTCAGGTCACAGAGCCAATGACTGGCATCGCTGTCTGACGCCCAAAGAAGCCACTAGGAACGATGACTCAGCAGTGACAAAGGTGCTGGCAGCTCACCTAGGGTTTCACAGCTCGTGTTGCGGGAGCACTGCCCGCTGTCCCTGTCCAGGGAGGACAGCTGCTCGTCTGACCTGCTGAGCTTGCCGATGCTGCCGCAGGGGGACAGGCGGGGGGACTCTCCGCCGTACGAGTGGCTGCCTCCTGACAGTCGCCTCTGTGCGTAACAGTCCACGTCAAAATCCTCGTGTGGAAAAATGAAGAGAAGCCCCAGTCACTTCTGAGAAACGGTGGCAGAGACCGAGGGAGAGGGAATCGGCACGTTTACTCTAGGAGGAAACACTGCCCGAGTCCTCGATGTGAGCAGGGGCACCCCGTCTGTGACTTCCGGAAGGAAGCCATTAGTTAGGGGGGGCCGGAGTGCATGGCCGGGGAGGGCTTCGGGGCTGAGCTCAGGTGTCCTCAGGAGACGGCCCTGGGCTCCAGCCTCCCCACTGCTGCCCCCACCCCAACGTGGGAACGTCCACCTGGCCCGGCAGAGAGAGCGGGGACTAAGGAAACTTCGG